TCTGGGTTTTTTTTTTTTTTTTTCACTGTATGTTGAAACTCTCAGTAGGTTTTACACCTTGTTATGTCTGCTTAGGTCCTTTTATCATTACAAAATCTCCTCTGTATCTTGTGTAGAAATTCTTTTAGGTCACTCTGATATTCAGCCAGCCACCTCAGCTTTCTTAGGCTTAATGATACATAGGTATGCATGGACTACCTTTTTCCGTTATTATTATTGTTATTGTTATTATTACTTTCAACCTGTCTATAGTATTTACATTAAAATTTTTTAAATGTTTATTTTATTATGCTAAGTGAAATTAGAGAAAGATAAAAATCATATGACTTCACTCATATGAGGACTTTAAGAGACAAAACAGATAAACATAAGGGAAGGGAAACAAAAATAACATAAAAACAGGGAGGAAGGCAAAACAGAAGAGACTCATAAATATGGAGAACAAACTGAGGGTTACTGGAGGGGTTGTGGGAGAAGGGATGGGCTAAATGGGTCAGGGGCATTAAGGAATCTACTCCTGAAATCATTGTTTCACTATATGCTAATTAATTTGGATGTGAATTTTAAAAAATAAAAAATTAAAGTAAATGTTTATTTTTGAGAGAGAGAGCATGAGCAGGGGAGGAGCAGAGAGAGGCGGAGACACAGAATCCGAAGCAGGCTTCAGGCTCCGAGCTGTCAGCACAGAGCCCAGCGTGGGGCTTAAACCCACGAACTGCAAGGTCATGACCCAAGCTGAAGTCAGACGCTTAACTGACTGAGCCACCCAGGCGCCCCTATAGTATTTATATTTAAAGAGCATTTCTTGTAAACAGTAACTAGTTGCATTTTAATCCATTCGGAGGAAGGTCTCTTCCATTAAAATGGAACACTTAATCTAATTACGTTTAATCTAATTATTCACATGGGAGTTAAATTCATTATCCTTCTATTTCTTTTATACAGGCCCAACACATACATACTTTTCCTGTTTTCTTTTGGATGGAGTAGTTTTCATATTCCATTTTCAAGGCTGTATTTCTTAATTGGATTATGGTTATGTTGTTAAAGGTTGCTACAGGAACAGAATACCTATGTTTCACTTCCTGCACTTACCACGGGGGTCCTAGAAAGGAGCATAGCCCCTGCTTTGAGACCCAGAAAGGCTTCATGAGGTTAGCGCCGTGCCAGTGTTTTCATCCGGGAGCTTCACAGGTTTGCTTTTCTTACATGGAAGTCGCTGGTCCATCTAGCATTTATTTTGATGGAGAGCGAGAACAGGGATCCATTTCCTTTTCAGATGGACGCCCAGGGTGGCCGCTACTTTGTTTCAATGGACTTGAAACGCTACCTTGATGATGTCCCGAATGTCTGTATTTGGTTTGATCTCCTCACTTGTATTCGCTCCTATTGACCCGTCTTTTCCATGTACTAGTGCCGTGCGCTGAGTTATCGCTGCCTGATGATTCTGACGTGTGGTAGATCTGAAGCCCCTTACGCAATTTTTTCCGACTCTTTCTGTATCACAGTACATGTGAACTGGACTGCATCGAAATTGCAGATGCATTCACAGGGGAGCAGACACTTTACGAGGTTGGTGCCGAGCGTGCGGTTTGCCTTCCTGAAGGCTGTGTCCTGCTTCCTTTTCCAGAGCAGCAGCATTCTTGTCGTCAACCACCATCGCCTTTTCTTGGCCAATTTTCTAGATTAAAATCTTTTCACGTTTTCTTTTTTTAAGTTAATTATTTATTTTTTAGAGGAAGAGAGAGCGAGCGAGCAAGCATGAGCGGGGTAGGGGCAGAGAGCCAGGGAGAGAGAGAATCCCAAGCAGCTCAGAGCCCGACGTGGGGCTCAGACTCACGAGCCACGAGGTCATGACCTGAGCCAAAGTCAAGAGTTGGACGCTTAACCAACTGAGCCACCCAGGCGGTGGCTTTTCACATTTTCACGCATTGCTGGGTTTAGAAGTCTAATAAGCAACACACTCTTCCCCTCTTAGATTCACTAATTGATTGCCCAGGAAGGTGAACATTAGGGATCAATCAGTTATGACTGGGAAGTTGGTGGGAGAATTGAGCTTTTGGCCTGTGGTTGAGTGGGCTTGCTGTGACTCTACTTCCTCGAGGGGCCACTACCCTTGACACGGCACATAGGGCAGGCCAGAAGGAATGTGTCGTAGTCAGATCCAGGAAGAGAGGGAGAGCCTGGAGGGAAATGAGCCCTACCAGCCAGGTTCCTCTTTCTAGTTTCTTGGATCATAGAAGTCACTGTCCCTTCCCTAGGGGAGCTGAGCACGGAGGGAGGCCAGGAGTAAGTTCCCCCACACACAAGCAAGGGCAAGACTGGGGCGGAAGAATTGGGGAAGGAGACTCTCTTTAAGTACCTACTAATGCAGTTTAATTTTTTCCCCTTATATTTATCAACAATTTATGAATCTTTGTGTGTGTGTGTGTGTGTGTGTGTGTGGCCCATTCATATCCTTGGGTCACTTTGTTACTGAGGTGTCTGTCTTCTCTTAATGATTTGTTAACAGCTGCTTATATATATTATGACACTGTCCTGTTGTGAGCCATAATTTTGGATGAACAGCATTATCATTTCTTACTAAGGACTTTTTTGGATGTTATTTTTCCCTTAGTTATGTCTCTTTTCTTGTCATTATAAATGGGATCCAATTTTCAATTTTATTTTAGTAATAGTATTTTTGTATTGATTTATATATATACATCCTGGGACTGGCCTGTTTATTAAAATGTCTTGCTGGTTTTAGTAGATGTTCAGTTGATTTCTTGGGTTTCCTAGGTAACTAGTCATATCACCTATAAATAATTTCTCTTACATTTATTTCTCTGAAATTTTTTATTCCTTTCTTGCAGTCTCTCAAACATAAAGAAGTTTTAAAAACTTGTGCAAATGGAAGGAATCTCTCTTTATGTTGTGGACTTTAACGGAAAGGCCCCTGGTGTTTTCATCATTGATTGTGATATTGACTGTAGATTTACGATGCAAGTTTATTATTTTAAGGGAGAGTCTATTTCTGGTTTTCACATAGGGAGTGCATTGAATATGTAGATTGCTTTGGGTACTATCAACATTTTAACAGTGTTTGTTCTCCCAATCCATGAGCATGGAAGCTTTCTCCATTTCTTTGTGTCTTCTTCAGTTTCTCTCATAAGCTTTCTGTAGTTGTCAGTGTATAGATCTCTTTGGTTAAGTTGACTCCAAGGTATTTTATGGTTTTCGGTGCAATTGTAAATGGGATCGATTGCTTGGTTTCCCTTTCTGCTGCTTCATTATTGGTGCATGGAAATGCTACAGATTTCTGTACTTTGATTTTATATCCTGTGACTTTGCTGAATTCGTGTATCCGTTCTAACAGTTTTTTGGTGGAGTCTTGAGTTTTCTACGTAGAGTATCATGTCTTCTGTCAAGGGTGGAAGTTTGACTTCTTCCTTGCTGGATTTGAATGCCTTTTATTTCTTTGTGTTGTCTTGTTGCTGAGGGTAGGACTTAATATTCATTGATGGGTTTCCCAGTATCAAAACATCCTTACATTTGGGGGACATCTGTCAAGGTGTATATTTTTAATATGCTGCTGAATTTAATTTTCTAGTGTTGTAACTACAATTTCTCACATCCCTATTAAGAAGGCAAAGTGGTCTTCAGTTGTTTATTGACACTATACTGCTCAATAAATTGGCCCCAAATTTAGTGGCTTAAAACCATAAAGCATTTATTGAGTCTTGAGTCAGGGGTATACACTGGACAGTTCTGAACTCAGTGAGGCCTGCTCATATGTTTGCGGGCCCACTGAGTGTCGATCTAGTGACTGGACTTTGCTCCACGAGTCTCTCCTGTCTCTCCAGCAGGCTAGCCCAGGCTCCTTCTCGTAGGGAGGGAAGATACAAGAACCAAGAAGCCCTAATGCTCAATCAAGCCCATTTCTAGCCTCTGCTTGGGTCTGACCAGCTAGTGTTCATTACCACGTCAGGTAGCCAAACCCAGAATCAAGGCTTGTGGGATTGGAGAGAGGAGCTGTAATACTAAATCCCAGCCCTAGAGCAAAGGGGCTGACTGGGGCCCCAACAGGGGGAGAGTGAAATATTAGGGCCCTTTCAGCAAGCAGCCATAGTCCTCAAGTTCCCTTTGTCCTGCTTTTGACTGTGTGTGTGTGTGTGTGTGTGTGTGTGTGTGTTTTGGGACAATAAAAATAATATGAGAATAATCTAGCTTTGGGGCTTTCAAAACTTTCCCTTAATACTATCTGGGCCCAGAATCTCTATGGAACATAAATCTCTTACAGATTTTCCAACGACTTACATGGCTATTGGTTTTGCTATTTCTTTACTGAGCCAGTTTTAGTAACATCTTTTCCTGGAAAATCTTTTATCCGTGTTTTCAGATTTATTAGTAAAAAGAATGTGTAGTACTTGATTATAATTTAAATTTTGGACCCATAATTATGCCCCATTCTCGTTCTCTGCAACTGATCTTTCTCCTTGTTGGAACTTCTCAGAACTTTAGATGTGGATTTGGTCTGTCTGAAGAATTAAGCCTTGGATTTATTAATCAAATCTATTGCTTGTATTTATGACTTCTAAGGTAGTAATTTTTCCCTTTATTTTTTTTATTTTTTAACATCTTCCTCTCTTCATTATTGGCTTCGGTTTTTCTTCTAGTTCATTTATATTCATATATTTTGGTAATAAACACATCTAAAACCGTACATTTTCCTGTTACTACATTTTTGCCTCCCTCCCATATATTTTGTTGGGTAGTATTCTATAGACAGAATTTAAAACATTTTCTACTTTATAAATGTTTCTTTTGTCTGGGGAAGATTGCTGTTTGAAGATTGACATATGACCTCTTGTGGTGCAGGTTTTCTGTGAAAGACTGTGAATTCCAAGACCAGTGCAAGTTTTATTATAAATATGTGAAAAACTTCTATCTCCTTACGGTGGGTGCCACCACTCCAAAATGAAAAGAGTGTAGATTTAGAAACACAGCTGTTTGGG